GAGAAGCAGGCTCCATGCAGGGAGCCCGATGCGATGCAGAACTTGATCTAGGGACTTCAGGATCACGCCCTGAACCAAAGGCAGATGCCCAACTGCTGAGCCACCCAGGCGCCCCAACAATTATCTTTTAGAGATCAGCTCAGATGTTCCATCCTCAGAGAAATCCCTTCCCTGATTACACAGGATGGGCCAAGTCCTCTGGGTGCCTGGGTGGCTCAGTCAGTTAAGCATCTCTCTTTGGTTCAGATCATGACCAGGGTCCTGGGATGGAGCCCTGCATTGGGCTCCCTGCTTAGCAGGGAACCTGCTTCTCTCTCTCTCCTGCTCTCCCTGCTTGTGTTCTCTCTTCCTCTCTCTCTCTTAAATAAATAAATAAAATCTCTAAAAAAAAAAAACTACAATAGTCAATTAGAACAATAAAGCCACAATAATATAATAGCTAACATCATGTGGCAGGTAGCTTCTGAGAATTTTAATTTGTTCAATCCTCACAATAATAGTATGAAGTAGGTGATACTGTTTTTAGGATGAGGAAACTGTGCTTAGTGTCCATTGCATTGATCACAATTATGATTAAAGAATGAATTATATGGGCCCTGTCAGTGGCCAGGATGGGACTGAAGGAAGCCTTTTGTTTAGAAGGAAAAGGCTAGATGTTGGTCTTGAGGCTGTGTTTGTGAAGCAACCATGCTATGCTCTGGGTGATGTGCTTACTTGGTATGGCTTTGAGAAGAGATCAGTGATGACTTTGAGTGTTTTACCCTCAAGCCACTCCTTGCTGTCCACCATGGCCCACTGTCAGCCCTATGAAAGGAGGAACTCATGTATTAGCTGTTGTATCCTAGGAACTCAGCTCTGGGTCTTACATAAAAAAGTAGTTTTTCAATAAATATTTATTTTATGAATCACTCAAAAAAATTTCCAAAATTTTGGGAGTATTTTTGAGCAAGCTGCATCTGAATTCTATCCTAAAGTTACAGCACTGATGATGGGAGTTATTCCCCAGGGCTTTAATTTGATCTTGGGCTATCTGGTGGATGCCCAGGACTCGAGGTGGACACCTGTGTGGACCCTGTTTAGGGAACAGGTGAGCCAAGGGAGCAGATATCGGACCTCAGGAGTACTGGTCTCTAAAGTGAGGCAAGACTGGGAGGAACATTCTGCCCCAAGTGGAAGTAGAGAGATTAGAGTCTCATTCTTCTGACATAGGTGTTCACAAAGGCTAATTTGTGGATGGGAATGAGTTAACCTTTATAGTTTTGGGATCATGCATATGGGAGGCTGAGATGAATACATTCTAGAACTCATAGAATAGCCCGGTCCTATGTGCCCTTGGGCTCAGAAAGTTTTAGATGGTCTCCGCTGAAAGGGAGTTTGAATGTAATTACTCTTAATTCACAGAAAAAGAACTACCTCATTTGTTTTCAACTCCATATGGCACTACCCTTTGGGCTTGTGTGATTGTATCTCTAATGGGCTGTGAGCACCCCTGAGAGCTAGATGCTTGGAGAGCCATTCTAGCCTTTCTTCTTATCGGTCTGCTCCTGGGTCGGCTCCTGGAGCCCTGCCCAGGTGGTCCAGCCCTGAATCCATTTCTGGATTCTGAGGAAGGGAAAGGTGGGAGACTGGCAGGGATCTCCTTGGGCTTATGAGAAGAGCTAAATGCCCTGATTTAGGAAGAAATCCACATCCCCTCTCCACCCCCCAACCACCCACAGGAAAAGTGGAAGTGAGCAGGAGGAGAGATAGAGGTCTGGCTGAGTGAAGTAGACACTTCAAGTAAGGGAAACTTAAAATATAAAGTATAGCTAATAAACTTAAAATATAAAAACAAGTGTTACTTATACAAAAACCAAGATTATAATTCAAGGACACAATTTATATAAAAGTATATATGGTAAATAGTAAATAACATAGTAAAAATAGTAAATATAAATAATAAACCTTTCAGAGGCGATTCATCCTTTATCTTATTTTAATTCACCTTTATATATTTATTTATTAAAGAGATTACTTATTTATTCATGAGAGACAAAGAAGGAGAGAGGCAGAGACTTAGGCAGAGGGAGAATCAGGCTCCATGTGGGGACCCCCATGTGGGACTCAATCTTGGAACCCCAGGATCACATCCTGAGCTGAAGGCAGAGGCTCAACCCCTGAGCCACCCAGGTTCCCTTTAATTCGCGTTTAAAATGGTGTCTATTTCACTAAACTTTGTAGGACATAGAATGTTCTAATTAGGTAATTTATTTTATTTTATTTTTTATTTTTATTTTTTAAGTAGGCTTCACACCATGCATGGAGCCCAACACAGGTCTTTCTTGGTCGGTCGATCTTTCTTTCTTTCTTTCTTTCTTTCTTTCTTTCTTTCTTTCTTTCTTTCCTTCCTTCTTTCTTTTCTTTCTTTCTTTCTTTCTTTCTTTCTTTCTTTCTTTCTTTCTTTCTTTCTTTCTTTCTTTCTTTCCTTCCTTCCTTCCTTCCTTCCTTCCTTCCTTCCTTCCTTCTTTCTTCCTTTCTTGTATATATTTTTTTATTGGAGTTCAATTTACCAACACATAGCATAATACCCAGTGCTCATCCTGTCACATGCTCCCCTCAGTGCCCGTCACCCAATCACCCCAACCCCCTGCCTTCCTCCCTTTCAGCCACCCCTCATTTGTTTCCCAGAGTTCTGCCAACACAGGTCTCGAACTGACAACCTGGAGATCAAGACCTGAGCTGAGATTAAGAATTGGATCCTTAACTGACTGAGCCCCCCAGGCACCCCTAATTAGATAATTTCTGAGGAGAGCTAATTCAGTGAGTTGGTCTCCAAACAGCAAGGGAATTTAATCTATCTTATGATTTCTAATTATGTTTGGAATGTCTGAAAAATATCAACTTAAATGTGTTCTTTAATTATGGATTATTTTAACTTTTAGGATTCTTGTTCTCCATTTGTCCAGTTATTGGGTACATTTACAAGACTTTAAGAAAGATAAGGGTTTTTTTTTAATATCTCTCTGTAATAATAAATGTTCTTTTGCCATTTTAAAGTTCAAGTGTCCATCTCTGTTTGTGTTTGTGTTAGCCTGTGAGAGCCTGGAGTTTATAACCCAGATTCTGGAAAGAAACTATAGCAGTGGTAGGTTGCTAGGAAAGTCTCTCAGCTAATTAAACAACGTGCCTTGAATTATTCTGAGTCTCCATACTCCCCAGTCATACTGGATCAATTGAAAATGATACTCATTTTGGGGATTGTCAAAAGTTAAATTAGAAATACATGAAAGTCTAGACATCCTATTTTTAATAATTAAAGAAAACCAGAAATAAAAAATATAATTATATGAAAATGTTCAAAACAACCTAATGTTCAAGAACAATGAAATACTTAAAGAGATTTTGATATATCCACATGAATTACTATACAGCCATACCAGCTTCAGGTTTACATAGAATGTAGCAAATACTGTATTTTAGTTAGGTTAGAAATCATAGCTCTCTCTCTTTTATACAAATCAACAGAAATAGGTGCAGTTTAATATATTACTTTCTTAAGTGTTTTCACAGTTACACTTTGCAAAATAAAATTGAGACAGAAGGGAGCCTGTTTAAGATTATCCAGAATAGAATTAATTTTGCCACTTGAGTGTATTAGAAAACAGGAGCTAGACCCACTAGTGAGAGTTGTAAAGCATAGTTGTGGACCATGTTCCAGATTATTCAAATAATTTACTTTTTTTTTTAAGATTTTATTTATTCATGAGAGACACACACACACAGAGAGAGGGGGGGGGCGGGCAGAGACACAGGCAGAGGGAGAGAGAAGCAGGCTCCATGCAGGGAGCCCGACTAGGGAATCATGCCCTGGACCAAAGGCAGGTGCTAAACCGCCGCGCCACCCAGGGATCCCGATAATTTACTTTTTTGTTTAGAGTTACATCAGTGATTGAACACAAAGGTTGGGAGGGGGACTGGAAGGGGGACTTTGAGGTGGGAAGTGGGATTAAGAGAGTATACAGCCAAGGAGCTATTTCAAGCCTGACAACTTTATTCTATCGTATGTTTATAGTTATTCTAATCTTAAAGCTCCTCTAAGAATCTGTTTTCCATTTCCTACAAATTTTCATCCTTTCTCTAATTTTTTTCATCTAATTTTCAGAAATCTCCTTGAATAGAAAATTATCTTTCTGGGGACATCCGGATGGCACAGTTAAGGCTTTGGCTCAGTTTTGTGATCTCAGGGTCATGAGATTGAGCCCTACATGGAGCTTTGTGCTCAGTGCCAAGTCTACTCAAGACTCTCTCCCTCTCCTGCTCCTCCCCCCTAAAATAAATAAATCTTAAAAAAAAAAAAAGATACTCAAAGTACTTAAAATTATCTTTCTGTAGATTCTTAGCTTAGACATACTTGATTTTTTAAAAGATTTTATTTATTTATTCATGAGAGACACACAGAGAGAGAGGCAGAGACACAGGGAGAGGGAGAAGCAGGCTCCATGCAGGGAGCCCGACATGGGACTCGATCCCAGGCCTCCAGGGTCACACCCTGGGCTGAAGGTGGCGCTAAACCGCTGAGCAACCCGGGTTGCCCAACATACTTGATTTTAACCTAATTTCCCTAATATTCAGGTATGGAAGAAAAGTAAAATTGCTATAAAGGACAAGTCAGCTAGTATCTATGGTTAAGACTTTATAGCTTTATTTTATCAAATCTTAATTTTTCCCTTTGGCCATCTGATATTTTAATTTATTACTGTAACTCTTAATTTAGCTATTGTTGGTTCTCAGTCACATTTTACTGCTTAGTCCCTGAAGTTCCAGTGAAGTGAAAAAACTTAAAGACATCTTGAACCATTGCTTATTAAAGAGCATTCAGTCAAAATGTTGAATCTTGACTATGAAACTCCCCCAGATGGCTCCTTGGGGCTCTAAAGCATTCGTATTATGAAGGCCCAGAGGGTGCTTTTTGGCCTTTAGCTCACTGTGCTTTTTTTTTTTTTTCTTGTCTTTTTATTCAGCTGGAATGCTTGCAAACTGCTAAGGCTGAGATCCTGAGGAACCCAGCTGGAGAATGCCGTCTGAACGCTGCCTGAGGTTGGCCCCATAGGAGCTTCCTTGTTTGGTGTTGTGAGCCTTGAAATAGTCACACTCCACATCCCAGGGCTGAGCATCCCAGTACTCAACACATATTTAAAGGAATTAAGCAAACCAGTAAGAGTGTGTGTGAGTTTAGTATTGTAGCACATGGGTTAACCACTGTGATCCTATTTACTCGTCATACCCAGGTACCTTTCATGGTTCTTTGAATGATACTACTTATTATCCTTTTCTTATTTGGTATATCTAAAAAAATATATACTTCTATAAAAGTATATGATTTAAAAAGAATCAGAAAACTACTTCTATTTGACTATCATCCCCTTTACAGCAGTCACTTTGGGGAATGTGATACATATTCTCAAAACACTCAACATTTTCTTATAATAATTCATTTATTTAATAGATATTTATTGAGTCACACACTTTACTTGATGCAGAGAACCCAGCAGTGAATAAAACAGATAAGGTTCCTGCCCTCATAAAATGTATATTCTATGGGGGAAACAGATATTAAGCAAATCACACCCAGTAACAATGCAAATATGATTGTGAAAAGTGCTTTGAAGGAAGGGTACAGGGTTGATAGAGTGAGAAAGTGTCTTCCTGTAGAAGGCTCTATAATCTGAGATCTTAAGCATGGGATGACATGGGGAAATGCTCTGGATCAGGAAGGAACTTGGCATATTCCTAAAATTGAGGGTGCAGTCGATAAGAAAACATAGGATACTTTTTTTTTTTTTTTAATATTCTCGGTGGAGGCAAGTCTTCATTATCCTCTGAAGAAACAGTCAAAAGGATCTTCAGAGCAAAGAATAAGCGAGGTGTGAAACATAAGAAATATTTTCTTTTTATTAAGAATTGGGTATGTCTCTGAAATAATGGGACCAGCTTTCTTCCACTACTCTGCAGCTATTAGAGTTGACCAGTTCCAAGACTATGTTCAGAAATGGAGGGAGGCATTGCTATAGCTGCATAGTGCCAAGTCCATTGCTTTAGATCAATGATTCTCAGTAGGGTACATCGTGCAACATCTGGCAACATTTTTGGTAGTCCCTGGGGTTGGAGGTGCTACTAGCATCTAGTCAATAGATGCTAGGGATCCTGTTAAGCACCTTATAATATGCACTGCAAGTCCCCATCACAAATAAGGGTCTGGCCCCAGATGTTAATTTCACTGAGATTGAGAAATCCTGCATTATATCTGGCATCCAGCCAATATAGCAGAGACCATGGTATCTCTCTACCACCACCTCAGCCAAGTGATTTATTTCTGGTTACTTGGATCTCTGTGCATTTTTCCCAAAATTACTTTTTACTTTAAATCTGCCATCTCTGCTTATACTGATCAACTCTGATCCCACTACCATCTGTCCTTCACTGTATTGATCAACTCATCTCCCTACTATCTGTCTTTTATGGTACCATCATCTCTTTAATGGTCATTCCTTCTCTGCTGCAATGCAGAGTCCTTCCTTCCCCACCTTTCAAACTTCCCTTGTGCTCCGAGGAACTGTTGCACCATAATCGTGTGCTCTGCTGTATCATCTCCATCACCCTGAAAAGCTCTTCACCTGCTGATTTCACTGAGACCTGTCCTTTCCTGCGGCACCACCTCTTTTGTAGCCCTGCCAAATGTGTCATTATTATCTCCTCACAGCTCATGTATTTGGGGGATGAGCAGGGATGTTGTCAGCTTGAGTAAAGAGCTAAGATATAAGGCAGAGAGAGAGGAAGCCCCTGACTCCCCTGACTAGGCTCACGCAGGCCACATTTAATCTTCAACCTGCTTATCTCCAAAAATTGTCTCCTTCCGCTAAGCCATCCACTCCCATGGTCACCCTTCGGGCCTTGCATCCCCAGTAGTTGCTATATTTCTGACCACTGCATCAGCTGCTTTACTCTTCAGGATCTCCTCTGTCTAACCTGCTAGTTTACCTTCCCCCACTGTGGTTGTATTTTGACTTCTTTACTGGCCCTGTTACTTTTTACTAACCCATCATCCCTTTCTTTCCCTCATTTCCCTTCTTACCCAGTTTAGATACCATGAGTCTTTTGAATCTTTGATTTCTCTTCCTGCATTTTTGATGTATTTGCTTGACAATATCCCAACCCAGATGAACCCAGATATCCTTGTTTCCATGCCTACATTGTCCAATGGATATTGGTTCCACCAAATCTTTATATTCAACAAACCAAAAGAATGCTAAGAGTTTAATATGTGTTTCTGGTCCACCTCTGCCCTCCTGCTACTCAAAGGGTAATCCTTTTCTACCACTGACCCCAGCCATCCTTCTGTATTTTGAATACTATTCTTTCTTCTCAGCAGCCTTTGACTGTTGATTGTCTCTGCATTGTATTCTGGAGGCCCAGCTCTCTTTGTAGTTGAGTCCCAGATTTACACCTCTAGCCAACTCTCTTTCTGAGCTCCAGACCCTGCACCATTTCCTCCCTTTTCCTCAGGGTTTTAACAATTAACATTCTGTATGAGGGGCGTGTTCCCTCCTATGAGGAGATCATACTACATAGCACTTGTTCTTCCCCACCTGGAAAACTCTTCTCTCCTCTTTTTGTGACAGTAACTCTCCTCCTTCATCCCCCAGCTCCAGCATTACTTTTAGGAGGCCAGATTATTTGATTAGTGTGTAACTGCCTTGCTAAACTGAATATTCCACAAGGGTTGCTACCACGTTTGGTTTGTTCACCATTTTATCTTCAGTATATAGCACAATACCTGGCATAGGATAAATAAATGTTTGTCGAGTGAATGAATGAAGGGAGGAATGGAACAAAACTGTTCATTTATAATTAAGTTCCTTTCTGTATAATCTTTATTACTTCTTAATCATTCTCTAAGAATGCTGTGTTCTCTTTGCTTATAATTTTGACCATTGCTATTAATTGTTTAGCATTCACTTTAGTATTTACAAATTACAAATAAAAAGGAAAATTAAGTTCTATTATGGGATTTTAACAGCTTGCTGGCTTAAATAATAGGGCTGCTTTAATATTAATGTATTTAATTTGTATAGAAATATTTTGATTATGGAATTGAAGCGATTAGGGTACTTAATTAAATAGACTGAATTGAGATAATCACAAATAATTCTAGTACTACCAGTTTTTTTTTTTGCTCATTCTTTTCTTTCTTTGTAGTCTATTTAGGAAATGAAGCCCTACTGAGGGGGACACTTGACGGGATGAACACTGGGTGTTATTCTGTATGTTGGTAAACTGAACACCAATAAAAATTAATTTATTAAAAAAAATAAAAGAACCCAGAGAGCTAGCTTGCCCTTTTGCCATGTGAGGGGTCATGGAAAAGATATCTATCTACCTTGAATGTGAACTCTCACCAAACATTGAATTGACACTAAGCTTAGATCTGGGTCTTTCTGTCCTTGAGAAATATGAGAAATAAATATCTGTTCATAAGCTAAAAAAAAAAAAAAAGGAAATGAAGCCCTTTATGTTACTTGGCTGCATTTGATTTATAAGTATGTAATACCTTATTGGTGGCCTTACTTGAAAACTACTTGCATATATTTTGTATATCTAAATACTAGATTAACATTGATATAGAATTGACTTGGATTTTAAAATTTGAAATGCAGCTGTTTAAAAACCAGATAGCTGTTTTGGAATTTAAATCTTAAAAACTGACTTTATGAATTTACTTTATGAAAAATGAGGCCCTCCGAGATTTCTGTGATCAAAAATGTTAACTCTATAAACTAGAAGTAGTGATTTACACTGTGGCAGAGCTTCACTCTGAGTGGGGTGTACCATGTTATGAATGTTGTGCTCTGCATTTGATTTTTTAGTTTTTGCTATCAATTCTAGAATGAAGGTTAAAGACTTGAAGTCATGAATAGTCCTGTTCCCTGAGAACTCATTTATTTATCTCCCTGTTACTGAATGTTGACATATGGTCAATCAAATACTCCCTGGCATCAATCACTAAAAAGCAATCTGCTGCTCAGAGAGTTTGGGGCTTCCCATGTTGTACCTGCAGAGGCCGTGCCCTGTGAGACACAGGAACAGCCATGCTCCTCAACAGCCTTATGGGATACCTGAAGCCCTTACAGAGTTCAAGTGGAAAGGAATGAGGGATATGTCCCCCTGGGGGCTTACACACTGTCCAATAGAACCATAATGTGAACCATATATATAATTAAAAATTCTCAAGTAGTTACTTTTTTAAAAAAGTAAAAGGAAACTGGTAAAATAAATTTAACTATATAGTTTATTTAATCCAGCATACCCCAAGGCAACATGCAATCAATGTAAAATATTGGTATTTTGCATTCTTTTTTCATACTACATCTAACGTCAAGTGCATTTCAATTTGGACCACCCACATTTCAAGTGGCCAATAACCACCTGTAGCTAGTGGCTGTTGTATTGTACAGTGTACTTCTAGGGGATTCATCAGAGGAAAGACTGTTGGCATTGCCCTGGGAAAGCCAAGTCACCTTCTGCACTTATGTGGGAGTTTTAAGGTGGCAACATTGCTTCCATGGATGACCTTTCCCAATCTTAGAATGACACGCAAATCTGAATACTTTGGGAAATGTGCCTTATGTTTTATGTTGTTTTTTTTTTTTCTTCAGTAATTTGGGAAGTTTTAGGAATATTATCTTTCTTCCTTCTTCATTGTTTCCCAAATAATGGAGGGATATTGTTGGGAAATGTAGTGTGCTAATTTGATGTAAATTATAGATGTCAACGGGGCTGTTTGCCAGCATGTATCTGGAGTTGTTCATAGCTATCTATACACTCCTTATCTTAATTTAGACATGATACTTTAGAGTCTCTGATTCACCTCCTCCCTTATTTATGATCACTGACTTCATCAGATGGGCCTGCCACTTTCTAGCTGTGTTCCGTGGTCACACATGCTTTAACATTTAGAGGGTTGAAGTCTTTTGCAGATTTACATCTGAGAGTTGAGTGGGAAGTTACTTTCAGAATATAATAAAGACTTGTTGGTTAATAGGCCTTTATTTCTTGCCAAATGTTGGAGTATTTGTTTCTGCTTTTAAAGATTCCTAACATATTGGCTCCAAAATATTTGGGCTCTTGTGCCAAGTGTTGCCTTAAATATTTAGCATGTTGTTTTCTTGAAGCTTGACTATTTCAAGCCCAGCTGAATGATCCTGTGAAATTGTGCAGCATCACTATTGTTTCAGAGCTGAGCCCTTTATTCTTTGCCAAATTTCAGTTTACAGCTGCTCTTTCCGTGGCGAGATTTAATCGCTATCAATAGATATCTGAAATGAAAATACTGATTCAGTCTTGATAATAAGGACATGAATTGTGGCACTGTATTTGGAAAATGAGTAAGGAAACAGTTTAAAGCAGTTATTTTAACATACTATGCTGTTCCACTAAAAATGAAATTTTAAAATACATTTATTTAACATTTAAGGTGTTATTAAAAGGGAGAAAAGTAATGGGTGCTTCAAATAAATTTTCAATGAGAGTTTCAAATAATAAGTAATAACTAGAATCTCTTTTTCTGTCTCCAAACTTATCTTAGTTGCAGTGCAAAGATAAATATTTTTGAAGCCTGATTTCAGATATTTCTTATCACTATCTCTTGTTATTTATCTTCATGTGTATTCTTTTTAAAAGGCAACTTTGATTTTGAGATAACATGAATAATATATGCATAATATAAAACAAAGTTTGTATGGACTTTGTGATTTTTTTTCCCTCTGCAGTCTTCACAGTTTTTTTGAGATTTTTGGGATAGTCTTCTCAGTTTGTTATGTTGTTTTGTCTTTTTGTTGTTGTTTTTAAGTAGGAAGGTGAATTACATTATTGTGTTCTTGGATAGGTTCTCAAAATGCCTGATCTCTTGGACCTTCAGTTTTCTTATCTGTAGAATAGAGATAATAATCGTGCCTGCCTCATAAGATTGTTAAGATGATTAAGTGAATTAGTAATTATAAATCAGTAAGAATACTTCATGGAACATAAGAAGACTGTTTGTAAAAGACATAAAAACATCCTTTTAAGAAAGATTTAAAAAAAAACTATCCTAGAACTTTACTTTAGCAGATAGAATATTTCTGCTACTATTCTATTCCCTTATTGCTTTGAGTGATGCTAATTAATCTCCATTCCAGGCTTTGCATAGAAATTTGTATTAAAAAGTTACTTATGCTTCCGAATGTGGTTTTCAGTTACTGATTTTAAATGTCTACCGATAGCTGGAGCTGCAGGATGAATATTCAATGACAGTAACCATTTCAAAACTCACTGCTGGATTTCAACTGAAAATAATCCTCCCACCTTCCCACGAGAACTTCCTATATCCTCACCTCCTGCCAAGTTTTTTTTGTTGTTGTTTCAATAGTTCTGACATTTCTGAGGCTTCTCAGTCAGAAATGTCCAATAAAGCTTACGAGGCTGTACTCTGCATCTGACAGGAAGCATTTGGTTCACTTTAAGGTGGTGGCCTGTGTTGAAGTGCAGTTTACCAGCTGAGTGGCACCACAGGCTGGGCAGAGCTTTGTTAATAAATAAACTAACCATGTAGACTAGTCGCCAGTAGCGACTCCCTGGCTTCTGCGAGTGGCTCTTTCACATTCAGAGGGAAGAACTGGGTACAGAAGTTGTCAGGATAGGAGAGACGATGCTCAGTCATCCCGATGGTATCTTCCCTCAGCTTCCAGAAGAGTCCACAAGCCAGAAACAGGGCTTGATGGCCCTTGTTCTCATTCTGGGAGTAACTTAGATTGGTGTAGCTCACCCATCCTGATCTCCTGCCATTTCTGAGATTTTAGAGTCCTGTGGAGACTCTATTCATAGATCTAGGCTGGAGTTGTTCATAGCTATCTACACACTCAGGGTAGAACATTATGTGTTCATGGCACCAATTCCACCTTATTTTGGCAAGGTCTGGGGTTTCACTTAGGAGTTCTAAAGAACATAGGATGGATATTTTAAAATAGGGTAAGGAGTGAAGGGCTAAGTTTCACAATGAGCAGATTTAGCAATTTCAAAAAATAGAATGGAAAATAAAATTATATAGTCATTCCTAAATATAGTATAGTGACCACATACAGAGATTGAAAGCTGATAATATAGATATATTTTACTTCCAGCCTTAGATTTTTTTCATTTACCATGACATTTCTTTTGATGTTCTCCTAAAGTACATAATTACCCAATTTTAATAATCATCTGCTGTGGTTTAATTAATTGCCTTTTACATGGAGTGACTAGTGGCAGCCCTTTTTTCTCTAACCAACACTCACTCAGTTTTGTTTTATTTATTAATGTAATGATAATAATGCATTACATTAATGAGGGGAGATATGGCAACTTCCTATATCTCTAATGAGTCTGGGGGTCCCGTGGATTCTGTGCTAGATCAGGGCATGGTGGTGATCATGTTCTGAGCTTGCACTAACCCCACACAGGTGGTACAAAGCTAGAGAAGGAATTAGAGTTAGGGCAAGGGTCGCAGAGAGGACAGATTCACATATGTACACATATCCAGATACACATCTGGAGAAAGTGCTGCACTCAGAGATGTGCATATCCATATCCAGGGGACAGAGGCCCAGAAGCAGAGGCTCACAGGCCCACGGACATGGGCCAATACACAGACACAGATGGACACACACAAAAACGCAAACTCAGAAAGAGAAGCATTAGTAGGAAAGAGAAAGACACCCTAACGGGGTGAGGAAAAGAGACTGGTGCTGAGGGGGTGAGGTAGCACGGGGGCCACAGGGGCTGGCCAGCGGAAGAGTGTTGATGTGATTGCTCTCTTTCGTAGTATTCAAGAAATGCTGACAGGCCAGAGGCTCTGCCACTCGGAATCTCACAATGATAGTGTCTTGGCAGCGCTGAATCAACAGAGAAGTGACGGCATCCTCTGCGATGTCACCCTGATTGCCGAGGAACAGAAATTCCATGCTCACAAGGCAGTCCTAGCAGCATGCAGCGACTATTTCCGGGTAAGTTGGGGTAGTTGTTTGTTTGGTTGCTTATTTGCTTCTGTTAAGATATTATTCAACAGAGGATGACAAAGTTTCCTGAAGTGGCAGGCAACCTCAGTCAGTTAGATGACAGTTCCCAGACTTGGGAATGTTGGGGGGGCTTTCCTGGGGCAGAATGAGATTGGGGTTCCAGTGGGATACTCTCTGGGCTGGACACCCAGATGTCCCTCCAGTGAACAGACTTTGCATCTGAGCCAAACGGTATTTGATACCATCCGACCATAAGGCACTGTGGCGTTGTAGTGCCCCATAATGGGTGTGAACTGGGGGATATGATGTTTCTAGATTCAGGATCAGAAGGACAATCTGTAAAATAATTTGTTAAAATTTAAAACATTCATAAATATATGTAGTGTTTCTGATTTTTAAATTTTCTATGCCATCTCATCTTACTGCTTTCCAACTATTTGCTCCAGAGATAGAGATACAGTTGACACAATGGACTTTTATGGTTGATAAATGTGTGTTGGTTTGAAGGCATGTGGTCTTGTTTAGTAGAACTTTAGAGCTTGGTTTTCAGTGGCTAATGAGATATGGTGAAATATTTATTGCTTTATTTTAATTCCAGTATAGTTAACATACAGTGTTATATTAGTTTCAGGCATACAATATAGTGATTCAGCGCTTTCATATATCACCTGGTGCTCATCACAACAAGCACCCTCCTTAATCCCCATCACCTATTTTACCCATCCTCCCACCCACCTCCCCTCTGGTAACCCTCAATTTGTTCTTTGTAGTTAAGAACCTGTTTCTTGGTTTGTCTCTCTCCCTTTGTCTTTTTGCCCCTATGATCATTTGTTTTATTTCTTTTATTCCCCATATGAGTGAAATCATACGGTATTTGTCTTCTCTAACTGACTTATTTCACTTAGCATTGTACTTTCTAGCTCCATCCATGTCCTTGTGTGTTTATTGCTTTTTTGAAGAATAAAATATACAGTATGGTTATAGCTAACTAAATGTCATTTATTTAGTACTGCCTATGATTGAAGTAAGTGGTAGAAAAAGAACTTTGTATACATTTATCATGTAAATGAGAATAGAAATTAATTGTGATTTTTAAAATTTCCCTTACCAAGGTCTCAGAATGCTACAGAAAACCAACTTAGGCCATTGGCAATTTGTTGGTTTGATTTGTATAATTCCAACAATAATCTTGGTTTTGATGTCTGAGAGACAATATCAACTGCACTCAATTGCCAGCCAGCAGTTAAACAGAATTTTCAAAGATGCCAAATCATAAAAGAAAGTCTTTTTTTTTTAAAGTATTTTAAATGTGATGAAACCTAGTTGTGTAGAGGAACAAGAGGAAGGTATTTAAGATGTCTATAAATAAAAAGTAGGGATTTAGTTCTCAACTGTAGATATGAAGCAGAATATCTGAAAAGTGATCTTTTAGTTCATTAATATAATGTTACATTCTATATTCTATATACTCACACATTGTCAGGCATTAATTCTCCAGAAAGGTTATATTATTCAGGGGACTTTTCAAACAACATACTTTGGGTTGTTATATATGACATGTGCACATTATATAATAATAAGTTTGTCTTCCTGTAGACCATAATATAGCCCTCTTGTTACTTAGCTTCCCTCTTCTTAGGTCTCTGCTGGCTGGCTTTTTAATTTAATTTTGGGAAATGGTTTGATTTTGTGCATGTGTGTATGTGAGAGAGAAAGCATGTGAGCAGGTGCATGTTACTTGTTTGCTGCTACTCCAAGGCTTTCATCTCTTCCACCACAATACCCCTGATACTCTGTTAGGTTACACAGAGAGAATGCCTCTTTTATAACACCATGTTACAAAGCTCATGAAGAAAGCTATATTATTCCCATGATGCAGATAAGGAAACTGAGGTGCCATATGTTTAAATAACTCACCCAAGGACTGCCAGATATTAGGTAGAAGAGCTGATTTTTCTTTTAAAGATTTTATTTATTTATTCATGAGAGAGAGAGGCAGAGACATAGGCAGAGGGAGAAGCAGGCTCCCTGCAGGGAGCCCAATGCAGGACTCGATTCCGGGACTCCAGGATGACGCCCTGGGCCAAAGCCAGACGCCCAACCACTGAGCCACCCAGGCGTTCCAGAAGAGCTGATTTTTGCACATGGGAGCTTGTTTCCTTGAGTATCAAGTTGTGGTTTTTCCCTTTAAGCATGTGCCTTGCTGGATTCATACACAGTTCTTTTAAGCTTACAACCTGCCTGTGAGATGAAAATTAAGTGACTTTTGTAGTGAGTGTTCAGATGGATGAATGAAAACAAAGCTGAAACTGTTGGTACTTTTAACTCTTTTCTAGGCACAGTATTGAGTTCTGGAATTACAGCATTTAACCACACATACCCTGAGCCCTGTGGAATATGTAAATATAGATATTCTACCAAAAGTAGTTTTTGTTTTGTCTGCTACCCCTTTTGTTAGTTTTTGTGGCAAAGTGAACCACTCCCAAAACTAGAAGCTGAATAGTTCTCAGGTCTCTCAGCTCTACCGATTAATGCTGGATTCATTTTGACATCATCAGTAACTGGACTGTTAGCTGGGGGCTGGATGACCTAAATTGGGCTTGTTCACATGTCTGGTGATTGTGAGGCTCTTGGCTGGGATGGTAGGGGACACTGGGCAAGTATTTCTCACAGACAGGCTAGCCTGAGCTTTTTCACATGACTATAAATTAAAAAAAAAAAAAAAAAAACAGCCAGAAAGAGGCTAAGGTACTTTTTCAATCTTCTATTTGTGTCATATTGTTTGATGTCCCATTGGCCAAGGAAGTTTACACGATCAAGCCCAGAATCAGTGTAAGAGGGTAGACCAAAGGGCATAGATGCAGGAGGGGAATGAATTTGTTGCCATTTTTGCAACCTCCTGCTATCAATAACTGTCAAGACTGTGATTTTATCCTATTTGCAAGCCAGCAAGTTAGCCGAACACAGTTTCATAGATGCTGGTAGAAGATATGAGACTCCAAAGTCAGAGACAGGATAGTTTATTACTCATAGCAGCAGCGGTCTATGAGTCTCAGCTTATTGGCACCTAATCCCTGAGACTGTTCCCACAGATGAGGGCCAGCTTCCATTACTGCACACAAAATGGACTGCCTTATCAGAGAGGATCACTGAGTTCAGGAAATCCAAATCTTTTATAATGGTCAGGAAACATGTCTGTTTTTTGTTCTGGAGGGACATACTAGTATACTAGACAGTAAGCATGCTTACCCTTGGCTCTGTAAGGAGACACAGTATCTTCCAGGATTGTAAGCAAAACTGCTTTTTACAACTGATTGTAAGGGGGACACCTCTCTGTCTGCCAAAGATGTTTGCTATAGAAATATCCTTGAAAAGAGAGTTCAGAACAAAGCACAGCCAGTGCCTCACTCACAATACATGCAAAAATGCAAGAGAGCTGTGGAGAACTGTCTTCCAACGACCACATGCCCTAAACTAGAGTTATGTTTGTTTTCCTTGTGTCTTATGCTCTACCACCCTGAAACACCTAGAAACAGTCTCCTGCTTTTGTAATTTCTGTATCTCTCACAACATTTATAATGTTGCCTCAGGCATAGTGCTCAATAAATATTTACTGAGTGAACAAGGAAATGTTTTCTAATTGTCCTAGATTCCATGTATATTTCGATATTTAATATCCTGAATATTAAAAATATGCAAATGATTGATGGATTTTTCTTTCTAGTGTAATTTGTTCGAGTTAATTAAGTACCTTCATATAAATTAGACTTTGGTACTTTGTACTTTGACATCTGGCAGATTGTTTTTAATCTGAAGTAATTGTTTTGATTGAGGAAAGGTAATCTTGTAAGAGTGAGAAGGCCCGAGTTTTTTTTTTTTTTTTTTTTTTTAGAAGGTCCGAGTTTTGATGTAAACTGCTTCTTAGATTGATCCAGGAGTTGGTATCAGCTTTTCTTGCTTAAAGTATAAATAACAAGCAGTTGAGCACAAAATACTGTCGCTTCCTATCATTATCAACATTGTAAAAGAAAAAGTAAAGACATTTATAAGCAAATTATAATGATTTTAAAAAAAATAAAAATTAAGCTTAATATCAGCAATGTAGGGACAACATGGCAATAGTCAGATGCTATAACCGAATTGGACCAGGGACTTCTTTTGAGTGGAAGCAGTGGAGGAAGAAAGGGAAGAGCTTTGGAGTTAGGTCTCCATTTGAAAAAAGCAGCAGGGACAATTTCTCTGTTCACCACCGTTTCCCAGAGTCCCCAGCAAATAGGCGCTATTCTAATTAATATTTGTCAGGTTATTCATTCTCCTTACTGTCTATTCTCTGAGCATAGACGAGTCATCTTACCTCTGTGAGCTTGTGTTTTTTCATCTGTAAATTGGTGATCATAAAGCACAACTCTCAGAATGGCTTGATATAGAGACTTAAATGAGATAAAGCATATAATGTACTAAGCACTGTCTGACACACAGCAGACTTGCAATAAACATTAGCTGTTTCACTCATTGTACTGACCTGTGAGTCCTGGTCCTGTTTTTCCTAGCTACTTGTGGGAAGATATAACAATTTATCTTTGGGTTTACCAGGTTGCAGACTCACTCACCTTTTGATGGGTCAGAATAACTTTTTGGTTCTATCCTTTCCCACCTGTTTATTTTCTGAATCTGATACTCTTTTCTTCTTGCTTATAACATTCCAGTAACCATTTAACTTTTCTCTTCTACTGGTTGTTCCTTTGCAGACCATTGTGCAAATGACTGTGTGGTTAGCTTTCACTTCCCTGCCCAAATCCTCCAGAGCTTCTCACTTGCACATTTGCCAGACTCCCAGAGTATGCCTTCATGCTGTGTCATTATCATCCATCTTCATCTTTGTTCCCCCATTTATTCATTTGAAATTGCAGCCATACTGTTCTGCAGATATACTCCATTGCACTTGAGGGTCTTTCCACTTCTCAGCCTTGCTAATGACCATTCTTTCC